GTATCTCCTTAAGAGTACAGGTGAGATATTCACGGAGGGTAGAACTCTAACATTTGTCTTTGATCTGTGAGCATGGATTAGACATAGTCATTCGTCCTTAGTCCGAGAGTATGGAGAGGGCATATTTATTTGTCATTGATCCGAGAGCATAGATTAGACATATTCATTCGTCCTTAGTTCGAGAGTATGGAGAGGGCATAGTTATTTGTCATTGATCCGGGAGCATGGATTAGACATAGTCATTCGTCCCTAGTCTGAAAGTATGGAGTGGGCATAGTCATTTGTCAATGATCCGAGAGTATGGATTAGACTAGTTGTTCATACTTGATTCGAGAGTATGGATTAGGTAAATCCGTTCATTTTAGATCCAAGAGTATGAATCGTGTCGTTGTGAGGATCGATGGGGTGGGGTAAAATTGCGTATATGAGGTGAAATTGTATATTGCGAGTTCTATATATATATATATATATATATATATATATATATATATATATATATATATATATATATATATATATATACACGTTATAACATTGTGGGATTGAAATTCCTATGTACTTACCAGGTTTCCCAACCTGACCCACTCAGTTTATTGTATCACAGGTAGCGATGTCAAAGATATATTCTGCTGAGAGATTCAAGGAGTATTAAGCCACTAGTTTATGGCTTGTAATATTTCGTTATGCTTATGTTTATGTATTGACGATGACATCCCAATGTTTTAATATAAATACATTTCTTCGGAAATGATTTGATAATATCATTATCATGTTTTCTGGGAACAAATTCTGCAATATTATTCTTCAAAAAGGATACTCTGATTTTTAAATAAGTATAAACAAATCGGTCTTTTTTGGCCGTGAAATTGGGGATGTCACACCCCAAAGTACCAACACACAACAATAACATATACAATAACAACATGTCGAGTCCAATCAACCATTGGGTTGGAATACCCCAGGCCCCTCAACCATCGAGTTGGAATGCCAATACACTATGGGTCCAGTCAATCATGGGGTTGGAATACCGTAGACCCATTAACCACCGAGTTGGAATGTCAATACACAACGTGTCCTGTCATCATCGGGATGGAATACCCTCGGGCCCACTCAACCATCGGGTTGGAATGCCCCCGGTCTGTTGGCTCACGCATAGAGCAGTAAAGCCTCAACCACCAACCAAATATGTGCACATATACATAACAGATAAACATATAATCAGCCAACAGACAACAAACAGATCAACCGATCACTAAGCATAGCAACATCCTATATACCAGGATACCGACCTGACAAAATCACTACAGCACAATAGCATACATAACAGGATATCAAATCCAAAGGACCGACATTAGTGCCTTTGACACGAAAGTACAGTGAGGAAAACTCACCTCACAACTGAACAGAAGCTGATGAGGTCCCGACTCCGAATCTCAACTCTCTAACCGACACCTAATCCCACCAATGACCAATTTCCACAAAAATCCCAAAATACCCAAAATACCCCCAAGGTCAAACTTGGTCAAAGTCAAAGTCAACTGGTCAAACCCACTAAGTCAACTAAGTCAACCCAGCCGAGTCAACTCAGGGTGCGTACGTGGGGCGTACTCCTGAGGTACGATGGGCGTACACGAGGCCTCGCAGGTTGACCACCATCGGGGTGGTTGACCTCGTACGCGGGGCGTACCCTCGCAAGTCTCAAAATCCATTTAAGAGCTTAATGGCTTAAGCTCTTACGTCCAAACTTCAAATCCATGGCCAAAATACTCTTAAGAGTCATAAAGTCTCCAACTTTATGACCTAGCATGTCCAATAAGTGCTTAACACAAGGTCTTATTCCATTAAGATATTCTACAAGATGCATGAAACAAAACTAACCATTTGGAACCCATTTTATGACTTAAGACCCCTCCTAGGGTCTGAAAGGACAACTCAAAGGTGAAGAACATGCCATATTCAAGATCTAACATTTTGGGACCCAAAAAGCTCCATAAAACAACCAAAACTAGATCTATGAGATAGAGGGATCAAGTTGCAAGCTTTTTACCCGAGAATGATTGCAAATGAAGTAGAAATCCCACATCCAAGGTGCTTCACACCTCCAAGATGAGATTGGCTTCCTTCTTTCTTCTTCTAAGCACACAAACACACACTTTAAGGCTAGAAATGGATTCTCAAGTAGATCTAGGGTTACAAACACGAATGAGAGGGTGGAGGCTGATAAGGTGAAGGGAAATGAGGCCATAAGGATGCTTAAATACCAGCCAAACCCTAAAAATTAGGGTTTCCTTATTTAGCAAGTACTTCTAGCGTACACCACGTACGCATGGCGTACTCCGAAGCCTCAAATTATCATAATGCCATTAAAGACCTTTTTGTATACATTTCTTGAACTTTGGGACCAAATGCAATATAAATGAATTAAAAGGTTGAAATTTGAAGTACCTTAATATCAGGAGGTTACAAATCTCCCGCACATGATCTAGACTTCGTCCTCGAAGTCGGAGATGGAAGAAATGAACAGGCGTGGGAATTGAAGAGACGATACGATTTCTGAGTTTAAGGGAAGGGTTTTACACTAGTAGGAGGGGTAAAATGTAAATAATAACAGGGTAAAATTATTTATTTGTAAAAAATCGTTGTATAGGGAATCGTATAGGGAATCGAAGAGATGATATGATTTCTTGTTGTGTACTATCTCCCTAAGTTTTTTGTACGGCACCACAAACCCACTTTATACTTATTTTATGAAATGATGTATATTTTTTGAAATGACAACTCATGTTTCATATCACAAAGATATGTTTTTCTGTAACAGAGGAAGAAAGAAGCTTTGAAGAATAATGAACAAACATTTGATGATATATGTGTCGATTTCCTTGTATATATATATATATATATATATATATATATATATATATATATATATATATATATATATATATATATATATATATATATATATATATATATATATAGAGAGAGAGAGAGAGAGAGAGAGAGATTTCTCATTTTTTTAAAACTTTTACATTATTTTTAGATGAAAACTCTCTAAAAACTTCATTTTTACACCATTTAAAAAGCTCCTTTTTATTGTACAAATGTTTTTTTTAAGACTTTTAACATTAAAAAAAAATCATTTAAATAAAAATCGCAAAATATATATAAAAGATTAAGAATTCTACATATCAAATCTAGGAATTCTTTGAAATGTTATTTATTATTATTATTTATTTCATTTTTACATGTTAAAAGTACAAACAAAACTCTTTTTTTATTATCAAAATTGTCTTTAAAGACTTTATCACAAAAAGCTCAATTTTTTTCTTTATGTTTTTATATATATAAAATTAATTTTTCGTAAATATCGTCTACAAAATCAATAAATATTTAAAATATCGTTTTAACTATTTAGGGTGTGTTTGGGATTGCTTTTCAAACATAAACGTAAAAATGATTTTTTTGTAAAATAACTTTTTCTAAAAGATAATGTTAAAATGTGTTTGACTTGTCTTTTATGATTTTTAAGTTATAAAAGCTAAAAGTCACAAAAAGATAAGAATTCCTATCTTTTCTACGGCCAATTTTTCATTCTTGACTAAAAATTGATTTTAAAAGATCTTTTCAAATTGTCAAACAACTTTTAATAATTTTTAAGTTTTTGAAAAGTTAAAAGTTTAAAAAAGAATCCCACACCCTCTTAAAAATAAAATAATATTAAATAAACTTATTTCGTCTTTTTCTCCACTAAAAATTAATTATTTCAAATCGCACAATGACCGTCATCGTGCAAGTGACGAACCAAGACATTCTACTCGGTTGATGTTATTCGATACTGTACACTTTAAACCGGAGGTCCGGCCCGTACCTTCACACAGATGACAGATTGACAGAGACAGAAAACCTAAGTGTATACACAGTACATCCAAACAAGAAGGAAGGCAGAGTTTTGGTGTCAACCGGCGATTATGGAGTTTTGTCATCCTCGGAGGAGGGTGCATCTGCATCAGATTGTGAATATGATGGCAGACTTCACCGGAATTGCGGTTTTGGAGGCCGTGACTTCTTGTAACCTACACGGCACTTATTCACTCCGGCAAAAAAAAAATGCACGGCCCCCGTCTTCAATCTGCATCAGAAATTGCAGAGGAAGGGGAATGCGACACAATTGCTAAAGGAAGGACGATGAATTCATAATCTTCCTTAGAAGACATCAACGCATGGTCGGTGGAGAAACGATGTCGATGCTCTAATAATTCGTCTGCAGGTAACATCGCAATTTTAGTTATATTTGGATCGAATTGCAATTTCGTTCCATATGAATGTTTTTGAATTACTAACTTAAGTTTGGGGGGATAATCTAGAAGGCGAGGCGCTGTTGTTTGAATGAAGAGGAAAGAAGAACATTCATCTTACTTGTTAATCTTCCTAGTTTGGTGGGGTAGACTTTTCATGGCTGCTTTTTCTAGAGAGTCTACCTTCTTTTACTTTCCTTGGACATTATTGCACTAATAATTGTTCTTCTATTAATAAAATATTTACGTACCTTCAACGAAAGAAACATCCAATTTACTTTTTGAGATTTCCATATGGAAAATTATTACCCCCATCTGTTACAAATACACCTTTTGACTTGGTAATGGCTTAACATAAGTCTTTGACCAATGATCAAACACCAAAAATATACAAAGTCAAGGACAATTTTACATTTTTACCCTCACTAATAATTTTCAAAAGAATCTATTTGAAAAAAAAAGAAATCGATGCATATAAGTTTTAAAAGATATGTCGCCTGGTCAATTATTAGATCAATAATCAACTATAGTCAGCTACTATATATATTAAAATGATTTTTTTTCAACAAATTCTACAGTTCTAGAGAAAGATATTTATATATATTCAATTCAGTTAAATACACCCTGCATGAATAGTAGCCTCAAGACCAGTCAACCATCTCCTAAGACGGAATACACTAGTATTCTCATAATTAACAAACTCTATAAAAAGGGATAGAGAGAAATTAGGTTTTATGCTTGATTTGATAAAGATTCTCAGTTTACAACTTCTTGGGACTTGGCTAAAAAACGAAGGTGTTTGTTTATCAGAGTTAACTGGTTTTTTTTGTTAAACAAAAAAATGCATGGTGGTGATATATATAAAGCTAGTAGTAGTATACGGTTAGGGAGTTTAAGGGCACCAAGTGGAAGAACACCAAGTTTAAGATCTGGAAGTACTTCTGTATGGAGGAATTCTGGCAATGATGTGTTTTCAAAATCTTCTCGTGAAGAAGATGATGAAGAGGCTCTTAAATGGGCTTCACTTGAGAAGCTACCAACTTTTGATCGATTAAGGAAAGGTTTGCTGTTTGGATCAAAAGGACCTTCCAATGAAGTTGATGTCACTGATCTTGGATTTGAACAGAGACAACATTTGGTTGATAGACTTGTGAAGGTGGCTGATGAAGATAATGAGAAATTCTTGTTGAAGCTCAGAAATAGAATTGACAGGTTCATTTTTCAACTCTTTCAATGGATTAGCATGTTATGTTTTTTTCATTTTTTGTATTTAACAAAGTATGATACTTGGTTAACAATGATCCCAGCTTAGAAATCTATTCAATCATATACTAATTTGGGAATGTTACAGGGTTGGGATTGATTTGCCTACAATTGAAGTCAGATTTGAACATCTGACTGTGGAAGCAGATGTCAATACAGGAAGCAGAGCTTTGCCTAGTTTTATAAATTTCCACATTGATATTTTGAGGTAAGCAATACAAGAATTTCTTTTTCATTCTGTTTTTTTTTTAATATTAATACCAAGGGTTAAAATATTCATTCATGTTCATGTTATATAGGGGTTATTGAACTTGTTCCATCTACTTCCAAATTCGAAGAAGCATATAACCATCCTTGATGATGTTAGTGGTGTTGTTAAACCTAGCAGGTGGGATTATAAAGAACATGAATAACATATCAATATAACTAGATTATGATTTTCTTTCATTGGTAACAAAATTCAGTTATTGTACTCAAAGATTTCATGCAAATGTGTTTGTAGAATGACATTACTACTGGGCCCTCCAAGTTCTGGGAAGACAACATTGTTGTTGGCCTTGGCAGGTCAGCTTGCAAAGGAAGTTAAGGTAATTTTCATCATTCATAAGTGACTCTGGTTATTCAAGTCTTGTATCAAACCCTAAATTTAAATTTTCTAAATGTAGAGCTCGGGGAAGGTGACATATAATGGCCATGAGTTGCATGAGTTTGTACCCGAAAGAACATCTGCTTATATCAGTCAAAATGATGTCCATATTGGGGAAATGACAGTTAGAGAAACCTTGGCTTTCTCTGCACGATGCCAAGGAGTTGGGTCACATTATGGTTAGTTTCATCAACAATGGTGTTAGAATATATAAAAGGAAATCATTTTGACAACTGGTTTGATTAATAATTGTTTTCTTGTATGAATTACAGAGATGTTGGCAGAGTTGTCAAGAAGGGAGAAAGACGCAAATATTAAACCCGATCCTGACATCGATATCTTCATGAAGGTAAATAACGTGTTTCCAAGAACGTCTTTTAATCGAGAACATTATCGAAATCTTAGGAATGTTGTTTTATCATTTAGGCTGCTGCAACAGCTGGACAAGAAGCTAGTGTGGTCACAGATTATACTCTCAAGGTATAATAATTGTACAACATTTCTATAATTATATATAGAAAATGGGAACCGAGTTAAGATCTAATATGAATTTTTTAATGATTACAGTTATTGGGGTTAGACATCTGTGCTGATACCATGGTTGGGGATCAGATGATAAGGGGTATTTCTGGTGGACAAAAGAAACGTGTGACAACAGGTGAAATGATTGTGGGGCCATCAAAGGTTCTTCTTATGGACGAGATATCTACTGGTTTGGATAGTTCTACAACTTTCCAAATCGTGAAATCACTTAAGCAGATGCTACACATTCTAGAAGGAACAGCCGTCATTTCTCTCCTTCAGCCGGCACCCGAAACATATGACTTGTTCGATGACATTATCCTCCTGACTGATGGAAAGATTGTGTATCACGGTCCGCGAGAAAATGTGCTTGAGTTTTTTGAATCTATGGGGTTCAAATGCCCCGAGAGGAAGGGCATTGCTGATTTCTTGCAAGAAGTAAGTACAAAGTGATTTTAAATTATAATTGTAATCGAGAGGATTGTTTGCATCCAGTATTTATTAACAAAATTGGGTTACAGGTGACATCAAAGAAAGATCAAAAGCAGTATTGGGTGAGAAGAGACCAGGCTTATAGATTTGTGACTGCTAAAGAATTTGCTGAGGCATACCAATCCTTTCATGTTGGAAGGAAAATGGGTGAAGATATCTCAACGGCTTATGACAAATCAAAAAGCCATCCGGCTGCTCTCACAACTGAAAAATACGGTCTAAACAAAAAGGAGCTCTTGAAGGCTTGTACTGATAGAGAGATATTGCTCATGAAGAGAAATTCATTCGTTTATTTCTTCAAGATATTCCAAGTGAGTATCATATTTCTCTAAAAGTCAAAATTTCAGGTTTTTTTTTTGCTCAAAGTCTAACCAATTTCATGTTGTTTTGCTCGGTTTCAGTTACTTTTCATGTCGCTGATCACTATGACTGTGTTCTTCCGTACTGAGATGAATAGAAATGATGCAGAAGATGGTGCATTGTATACGGGTGCTCTTTTCTTTGGTGTTGTTATAATCATGTTTAATGGGATGTCTGAAATATCAATGACAATTGCAAAGCTTCCTGTATACTACAAACAAAGGGACTACCTGTTTTACCCCTCGTGGTCTTATGCTCTACCCTCATGGGTCATCAAGATTCCCGTTTCGTTTATTGAAGCTGCTGTTTGGACAATTTTCACCTATTATGTAATCGGGTTCGATCCTAATGTCTCTAGGTAATAACATTTGACAACTACCAGTTAAAAGTTGGAAACTTGTGTTTTCTGATTTTCATATGCTTATTTATGGAATATTTTTTTGTTTTGCAGATTCTTCAAGCAGTACCTTATTCTGTTGCTTGTTAATCAGATGTCTTCTGGATTGTTTCGGTTCATTGGAGCATTGGGTCGTAATATGATTGTTGCAAACACATTTGGTTCATTTGCGCTTCTCTTAGTCTTTGCTTTGGGTGGCTTTGTTATTGTTCGAGGTACTAATTAGTTCAAAACATGACCTTCCATCCGCTTTTTTTTTTGGTCAACTAACGTTTCTTTTTTCTGTTTTCAAAAGAGGATGTAAAGAAGTGGTGGTTGTGGGGATACTGGTCATCTCCAATGATGTATGCCATGAACGGAATTGCTGTGAACGAGTTTCTTGGACATCAGTGGAGAACAGTAAGTCAAGCAATGCTTATAAAATATAAATAGTGACATAGTGTGTGTTTATATATCGATAGATATAAACATATGTATGAAATTTATCTTTACCAATTTTATTTGGTGTTATAGCCATGGAACAATACCGATACCGGATTAAACGACACCACATTAGGGAAAACAATCATCACATCCGGAGGGTTCTTTGCGGAAAGTTACTGGTACTGGATTGCAGTGGCTGCCTTGTTGGGATTCATTCTTGTCTTGAACTTGTGTTTCGGTTTGTCTCTCGCTTTCCTTGACCGTAAGTATCCCCATCTTTGACTTTTCAAGTATTGTTTAAACATTAAAAGGGTATGTTACGTAACATTTTTTCAACCCTACTACAGCATTCGGGAAATCTCAGTCGAATGCAGCGCAGACTGATGGTGACACAGAAGTTGAATTGTCAGCCATGACAACCGGAGATGGTGCCACTCAGGCCAAGAAGAAAGGGATGATTCTGCCATTTGAACCACATTCAATCACCTTTAATGATGTCAAATACTCCGTTGATATGCCACAGGTAGAAAACCCTTTACTATCAACACTCAGAAAACAGTTCGGAGTGGAATGTGGTTGTGTTAATAAACTAATATGATGATGATAAATGTTGTAGGAAATGAAAGATCAAGGGGTGAGTGAAGACAGATTACTGCTACTTAAAGGTGTGAGTGGAGCTTTCCGACCTGGTGTTCTTACAGCTCTCATGGGAGTCAGTGGTGCTGGAAAAACAACTCTGATGGATGTTTTGGCTGGAAGAAAAACCGGTGGTTATATTGAAGGTGATGTTAGGATTTCCGGGTATCCAAAGAAACAAGAAACTTTTGCCCGAATTTCTGGTTACTGTGAGCAAAACGACATCCACTCGCCACATGTCACTGTTTACGAGTCTTTGCTCTATTCAGCCTGGCTAAGGCTGGCTAATGATGTTGACGAAAATACCCGAAAGGTTTGTTTACAACATACATTTTGTCCCAATATTTGAAGTGTCAGTTTTTGTCAAGTTACATGACAAAGTTTGATGTTTGTTTACAGAGTTTTGTTGATGAGGTTATGGATCTGGTCGAGCTGAACCCATTAAGAGACGCGTTGGTCGGGTTGCCAGGTGTCAATGGGCTATCGACTGAACAAAGAAAGCGGTTGACAATAGCAGTTGAGCTTGTAGCCAATCCGTCTATAATCTTCATGGATGAGCCAACTTCAGGACTTGATGCTCGAGCTGCTGCTATTGTCATGAGAACTGTTAGGAACACTGTGGACACAGGAAGAACAGTCGTCTGCACCATTCATCAACCCAGCATTGACATCTTTGAAGCTTTTGATGAGGTAACAAAGAAAGTCATGTGCACATAATTCGTTATTACAAATGATTACTATTTGGTTAGTTGTTCATAACTTAAAACAACAATCGGTTTAATTGCAGTTGTTCTTGATGAAACGAGGAGGACAAGAATTATACGTGGGACCCGTGGGTCGTCAATCTTGCGAGTTGATCAAATATTTCGAGGAGATCGATGGGATAAGCAAGATAAAAGACGGATATAACCCCGCTACATGGATGTTGGAAGTCAGTACTTCAGCACAAGAAACGGCTTTAGGGGTAGATTTCACTGAAATCTACAGAAATTCCGATCTTTACAAGAGAAACAAAGCACTCATCGTTGAACTGAGTGTCCCACGTCCCGGAACAAAAGATCTCTATTTCCCGACCCAATACTCGCAGTCATTCGTTATTCAATTCGTTGCTTGCCTATGGAAACAACGTTGGTCCTACTGGAGAAACCCTCCTTACACTGCTGTCCGTTTCGTCTTCACCACCTTCATTGCCATCATGTTCGGTACCATGTTTTGGGATCTCGGAAGCAAAAAGTAAAACCCTAATTAATTCCCTAAACTTAAACATATGAAATTCATCCCATCTTTCGAAGTGTATTAATTTTAAAAATCATTTCAGGACGACTCAACGGGATTTAATAAACGCAATGGGTTCCGTGTATGCTGCAACCCTCTTCCTCGGAGTTCAAAACGCATTAGCGGTGCAGCCGGTTGTAGATGTAGAACGCACCGTCTTTTACAGAGAACGAGCGGCCGGAATGTATTCCGCTTTGCCATACGCCTTCGCTCAGGTACTACATCGATCCAACATCATTATAGTGCAGGTTCTGGTTGAAATGTATTGGATTGGATTCTTACATTCTCACAATTTTTTCAGGTTCTGGTTGAAATCCCATACGTTTTTGCACAAAGTGCAGTGTATAGTATAATAGTGTACGCGATGATTGGGTTCGATTGGACAGCAGCCAAGTTCTTCTGGTACTTGTTCTTCCAGTTCTGCTCTTTACTCTACATGACATACTACGGAATGATGACAGTCGCCATTACACCCAACGCCAACATTGCTGCCATCATCGCCGCTTCATTTTTCGGAATCTTCAATCTCTTTTCAGGGTTCATTATCCCACGACCTGTAAGTTTCTCAAAAATCTATTGTTGTTTACATTCTTTATTGTTCAATTGCACCTTCTGATACAACTCGGGTGCCCTTTTTACAGAGGATTCCGGTGTGGTGGAGATGGTACTACTGGGGGAACCCATTGGCCTGGACCATCTACGGCATGGTTGCATCGCAGTTTGGGGACTTCGACACCCAGCTTGGTGACGAGACCGTGAAAGGCTACTTGGATCGGTATTTTGGTTACAAGCATGATTTTCTGCCCGCGGTTGCCGGAGTGCATATCGGATTGATTATGTTTTTCGCTTTCATATTTGCCTACTGTATTAGAGCCTTCAATTTCCAGAAGAGATAAGATCATGCTGCCACGTCACCATAAGCAAGCATCTATTAAGACATGCGGATATTTATTATTAAGTTGTTGTGAAATATTGTATTCTTAATTAGCAAACAATGAAGATGGTGGTCTTTTTTGTATGATAATGCGGTCGAGATAATGAGTCAGGATTTATATCTGTATTTTTTCAATTTTGTAACTAAAAGAGATTGTATTTAATTATTTATATTAATAAAAGCTGAATTTATGTATTACAATTGAAGTTGCTACTAATATACGACAACTATAATATTATTTGTCTTGTAGCCATATTTTGGGGAAAGTATATATGGGAGTTGGGACCAAGGTTTTGAAAACCGGAACGGAGACTGAACCGGTCGTCTTACTGGTTCGATGGTTCGACTGGTACAATCGGTCGGACCGGTCTCAAAAACCGGAAAAACCGGATGATGTCATAAATACATTACTATTAATTTTAATTATATAAAAAAATACAAAAAATAAAAAATAAATATTTTTTAAAATTACCGGTTTTGACCGGTTCAACAGGACCGGTTTTTACCGGTTCGACCGGTTTTTGCCGGTTCACATGAATACCGGTTTTTTGGCCTTTAAGAATCGGATCCGGGACCGGTTGAACCGTCCGGTTCGGTCCGGTTTTCAAAACATGGGTTGGGGCAGTGTGGTGCATGGATGTGGGCCCTACATAACCTTACTGTTGCTTGCTATTGTGTCATTGTATGTTAGAACTGGTCTTTGATGTCTACCTCTCATCTAAATTTGCATGTTAGGATGGTGCCATAAATATATATATATATATATATATATATATATATATATATATATATATATATATCTATATATATATATATATATATACACCGGTTGAACTGGCCGATTCGGTCCGGTTTTCAAAATATGGGTTGGGACAGTGTGGTGCATGGATGTGGGCCCTACATAACCTTACTGTTGCTTGCTATTGTGTCATTGTATGTTAGAACTAGTTTTTGATGTCTACCTCTCATCCAAATTTGCATCTTAGGATGATGCCATAAAAACCACATTCTTTTTTCTGTCATGTAGACACCACTAGGTGTGTATACCTTTTATATATATATATATATATATATATATATATATATATATATATATATATATATATATATATATATAAGAGAGAGAGAGAGAGAGGGAGAGAGAGAGAGGAGTGTGGCACTCCCTAGCAGCACTAGGCCGAACCTCGGTAGGAACCGAAGGGTGGGGGCGATGTGCTGCAATGTTGAGGTGGCGAACTGTGGTAGGAACCGCACCTACACCCTCAAGTCTTACCAACAAATTTGATGAATCCATCCTAGGTGGCGTCATATGTATATAATATTGTAACAACGTAAATTTCCAAAAACAAATTTTTCAATTTAAAAACATACTTTCATTCATAAAATATCATAGTAATCCAATGTATCACATGTTATCACAATAAACAAATCCCAAGATCCTCAAATACATAAATCTTCTCAGTGTGTACGGATCATGCCGGCGCCTTCCCGCGATCATCGCTAGTACCTGAAACACATAACACAACAACTGTAAGCATAAATGCTTAGTGAGTTCCCCAAAATACTACATACAACATATACGCCACTCGAGGCTACAGTACGACCCTCCGGTCGATGTGTCTCAGCGGAACCCTCCAGTCCCGTAGCTCGTTGGACCCTCTGGTCCGGTCATAGCTCGTTGGACCCTTCGGTCCGGTCTGTATCGTTGGACCTGTGACATCCCCAATTTCACGGCCAGAAAAGACCGATTTCGTTTATGCTTTTAAAAATAAAATCAGAGTAATCATTTGATTAAAAGTGTTGCGGAATTTGTTCCCAGAGAAACATGATAAAAATGTTATCAAATCATTTCCGAAGAAATGTATTTTATTCACTAAAACCATTGGGATGTCATTGTCAATACAAAAACATAAGCATAAACAAAACTTACATTCATTTACACTAGTGATCTACTTCTCTTTTAATCTCTCAGTGTAAAGCAACTTCGTATCGATACCTGTGATACAATTAAACTGAGTGGGTCAGGCTTGGGAGCCTGGTGAGCATATAGGGTTTTCAACCCACAATAAATAATAAACTTATTAAGTTCTCAATCAAATAAATTTATTAATTTCATCAACCAAAATAACCCTAATTACCCATTCCCCATTATCCTCACTTTACGTCCCTAAAACAACTATCACAGGGGACCTAGCCTAAGGATTATCACTAGAGGTGACACCATTGCTTTGGGGGTTCCTCAGCAAGTTATGTCAAACAAGACATCCTAACATAAAACAACCAACAAGGTGACAACATTGCTTTCCTTCAGCAATTTATGTCAAATAGGCACGAAGTCACATCGTCGCCATGTGCTAGTCCATAACTCTTATTCATCGACGGTATTTCCCAAGGGTGTCCCCCCCCCCCCCCCCCCCCGCAATACATGTCAATGGGTTTTTCCATACAGCTGATGAACATACTAAAGGGTTTCCCCAGCCACACATGCACTAAAGGCAATCATGAGGGGAATAGAGTACAGCGAATGAACACCCAAGTCCATTAACACCTACAGGTTGCGGGCCTGCTAATGTTTCCCACTGGACTGTTTAGAACAGTCCATGGTTGTCATCCCTACTCTGCTGAATGACTGAATCGAAATTCACAGCGAATGAACACTCAAGTTCATTAATGAACATATAGTTCGAACATACGTACCGATTACAAGACTACTAACGTATCCACTGGGCTATCTAAAATAGTCTGTGGCCGTTGTCTATACTCTGCTAGATGACTAGATCATCTTAAACATCGATACCTCTCATCACTTTTATTTCATCACTCATCATCTAATTCATCTACCCATGTTTTACCCAACATATTTGTAGATAAAAATATATATACAGTTTAAAACTTGTATAAAATATCAATTCAACAGTCACCTCAAATAAACAATTAATATATTTACACATAGCACGTATTTTAAAGAAAATACTTCATATATATGTGTAAGGTGAAAGTAACTATACACTCACCTGATTTAATGAAAATCGGGCAGCAATTCGTTTCCTAAAAACGATCGTTTCTAATAAAACCGGGAGTTTTATTGAGAAACCGGGCTCTGCGAAGGGTCGGGCTTCAAAACCGAAAAGATAAATTTTCCGGGCTTCTCGGGCACTTCGTGGCGTATTCCAAGGGTTATAATCGATACCGGGGCTTTGGGGAATGTTAAGATGAAGAAAATATGGAAAAAGGGGCTAAAAATGGCAATTTCCCAAATGTAGCCGAGAAGGCTCGCATGCCTTCTATATATAGGGGTCCGAAGGTCGGCTTAGAAGGGAAGAGTCAGCAGGCGAGACACGCGGCAGCAGGAGGCTCGGAAACGTGGTCGGATCCGGAGGAGGACACGTATGCGAGGGTCCGGACACGCGGCAGGCTGCGAGGCCTCGGTTCGGACAGATGGTCTCTTCGGATTGGGCCTCCTCCTCGGTCGAATCAGAAGCCTACACGCGGGTCGAATCACGTGGGTGCATGCGAGGATCACGTGACGATTACGGACACCTGTGCGACACGCGTCGCTTCTCGGACGTGCCACGCAGCAGCTTCGGACACGTGGCCAACTCCGAGCGAGGGTGACGTGGCAATCACTATTCATGCGATTTTTCTTGAAAATTGTGCCAAATCTTGTAAAATCCATAACTTTCTCATACAAGCTCCGTTTTGGACGTTCTTTATATGCACGCGTAGAGAAAATTATGCTCTACAACTTTCGTTTAGACTTCGTCGGAAAATTTTGACTTTAATTTTTATATTATTATTTTTAACAGACCGGGACAGGAAATCCGTTAAAAATTCATAACTTCTTCATCCGACGTCCGTTTTCGTTAGACTTTTTACCGTTGTGCTACTATTTACGAGACCTTCGATTCTCGTTTAGGTCGTGTCGGCTAAAAATCACTCGATCTAAAATTCGAGTTTTTAGCTGTCTACTGCTAAGCTGAAACTTCGAAAAATCATAACTTCCTCATACGAAGTCAGATTTGGGCGTTCTTTTTATACATACTCTCGGGTTAACGAGCACTACAACTTTCGTTTAGATCACTAAGGCTAAAAACTAGTTTATCAAAAACTCACTTTTTACGACATTCGGCACCGTGCCTGTTTGTCGCGAAACTTCGACAGGTCATAACTTCTTCGTTATTACTCGGATTTCGGCGTTCTTTATATTTTCGGAAACCTCGAGACATGTACTACAACTTGGTTAAGATTAATCCTTCTAATTAATCTTCCATCAAAAAGTCATTTTTGATGCTTATCGTCTCTAAATTGACTAGCCCGGATCTACGGGCGTTACAGGACCCTTCGGTCTGGTCTATATCGTTGGACCCTCCGGTCCGGTCTACACAACACATAGCATACATATATCACAATGCACATAATCTCATACATACACATAGCACACAAGACCCTCCGGTCTACATATAGATACCACTGTAGGTAATGTATAGTGAGAAGACTCACCTCGGGTATCTCGGATGATCTCGCTTACGAATATACTGATCTAGCCCCCGCCTAATCACATACACAATATCCTCGAATAAATAATGGCTCTCAAAGGCTAGATTAAATCCCCTTCTACGATCTCTCAGAAGGGTAAAAGACCATTTTACCCCTCCTTGGCCTAAAAGTCCAAATGTTAACTGAAACCCTAAAAGTCAACGAAAGTCAACGGTCAACATTGACCGGACTCGCCGAGTGCACTAGAGTGACTCGGCGAGTACATGCCTGTCCTCCTCGCCCCTGTCCTCACTTGACTCGCTGAGTCAACCCTATACTCCACGGGTCGCCACGGGTCGCGAGTCGCGGCGCAACCCGACTCGACTCGTCGAGTCCCTTATGGGCTCGGCGAGTTCCTCTCATGAAAACTCTCAAAAGATCCCTTGAGGTCAGATCTGCTTCACCAACTATTAGATCTACCCTTCAAATGCTCAAATGTCACGTAAAGGTGCAACCTTTACGTTCATGCAACCCACAACAAGTCATAAATGGAGAAATAACTCTAAATATGGCAACCTAGTCTCCAATCCTCCATGAACAAACAAAAAGCAGAATGAGGAAGGTTCTTTGGACCTCTATGGGTCCAGATCTGAGGCCTAACTCAGCAAGGGACCATAA